TGATGCGTTTTAATAATTTCACATGACTATATATATATCAGGTCACATTCATGGGCCAACTTCTCGCTATGCTTGTCTTTCTATGCATATCGTCACGCTAGTTGTTGTAAACGAATGATGATATGTCTGCAACTGTCCATGAATGTTTTCGATTGGTTTGAGCAGATTGTGTCCACACATCCACCAATCAGTCATACACGCATATCTTAGCTTGTATATTACTCACTCCGTTTCACAATATAATGTAAGTCATTCTAACATTTCCCACATTTATATTGATGTTAATGAATCTAGATATACATTCATATTGATGTTAATGAATCTAGATATTTAGATTCATTAACATCAATATGAATGTGGAAAATGCTAGAATGACTTACATTGCGAAACGGAGGAAGTATATCATATTTTTGTAACCTATTAGCTTTATATTATATCATATTTAAGTAATACCTATAAGCGATTATTTATAATTTTCCTCATCATTTGAAAAGAAGGTAGGTAGACTTATTTTCTTTAGAAAACATGTCAGCTAAAGTAAAAGTAAGGTGTTTTTTTTTTGTCTAGTTGCATTTGTATGGTCATAGTTTATTAAAGGGTGAAATGGGTGGGACATGCAGCTCCACTAAATATATGGGTTTATAAAGCTTAATATGATTGATGTAGTTTGAGAGGTGATCCATCTACAAACAATTCATGTTGAGTGGGTGAGAGGCTCCATGCATGTAGTCTAACATGAATACGATAACGATTAGATATAATTGTGCGGTGATTAATATAATTGTACTATGTTCCTAAAAAAATTCAGTAAAGAATTTAACATTATTGATTGTTTCTCTGTTAGTTTAATAGCTAAAAATTGGTGTCGTGTGCATGTGAGTGTGATAAGGAGGTGGAGGAGATTTTATTTTTCTATTTCTAAAAATAATTTAAGTGAAAGCCAATCATGAGATGTTTTATTTTCCTTAGAATTTCTAAGATTCCTCCTTTTTTTACATGTGATGCATGGCGATTTATGGTTTTTCAAAACATAAAGATCTGATAGTTAAAAATAATGGATACATCAATTTAATTTGATTTTTTTTAAAATTCTACGACATGATACGCGGTGACTTATGAGCGCTCTGGTGGGGTTTAATTGATTTTTTTAGTACAATGATTTAGTATAAAATAATACATATTTTCAATTAATCTTTCGTTGTTATTTAGTTACCATGCAAATGATTGGGTCTACCTTTAAATGTTATATTTTGAAAAATATAGCTAATGTGATCTTGATTTACTTATTTAATTATAAATAGAAGAATAGCTATGACTGTTTTTATATTATGTTAGTTGAAAAAAAATATAAGATGAGATAATTGAATTGGTGAAAGAGGATGGGAGAGTTGAGCGGGAGGGTCGGAGGTATACGTAAGGCAGCAGGATGGGAGGATGATTCTTATCTATTTTCATAAATACAATTAATCTTAGTTCCACTAGGAAATAATTTGGGTATTGTATTTTCTAATTAGACTACTTAAATTGTTTCAAAATTTTCTAATTTAATTGCACGTTATTAATCAGAAGATTTAAAAAATCTATTGGATCAGTGAAAATTTATATAGTGATATAGTTAATTTGGATATTTCAATTTCTAATTTTATCTTAAGTAATCTAATGTTGTGCACCAGTAAAAATATAGCAATATGATTTAGATAATATAGTTGTTTAAAATTTGTTATCATAATTTATTTTTCCATATAACTAAAAGAGGAAAGTCGGAGAGAAAGAAAATAGGTGGGGAGGTACCTACTGGATGGAGGGGTTGAGACTTGCAATCTTTTCTTTATCCTTTTTCTATCTGGATAAGTAAATCTAATGGTAGAAAACAATGAGTCAATCGTATATTATTGAAAATCAATGGTTGTATGTTTTGTTTATTCTAGATGGCACGTGATGGCGTACTAGCATTTGTAGGACGAAAATTATTATATTGCTCTATTAGCTCTCTATGAATCGGAAAATGTTTGAAATTAAAGGACTGTTGGATCTCTTTTGTTTTTGGAATAACTTGTTCAATGTAATTTTCTGTTCTAATAAGTGTATAACACAAAGTGGAAGCTCTCCTGTCATTGCTTAATTTATAAAAGTAAAGAACGATTCTAAATTCAATGTGGCTGGTTCGGCAGAGACAATATATTTCTGCTACGTACCTAAGTGTGATAACTAAGTAGTACCATAGCTGAGCGTAGCATTGGCTCTAACAGGTTAAACAAATTATAAGAGACAATAGAGTTCTAATCATTAATCCACAAAAATATTTGTTCTCACCCTTGCTACTCTTCCACACTGTCACCGTGCTAATTATCCATTTATGGGCCAGCTATTAAATATTGTTGGGCACACAATACACAAGCACAAGACTAAATAAGAAATTGAAGTCTAATGGTTAGTTAATGAGAAACTCTACATACTGAGAGATATGACAATTGTCGTAATAATATATGGTACCCCATGATATATCTTAATGCTAAGAAGAGAATGATGGCACCAAATTTTACACTGAAAAGATCTCTTGCTACTTGAGGACCATAAAAGATCTCTTAATAAATGGTCAGTGAATTAAAGGAAGTTTATCTACAATACTACTCCCCGTTGCACTATTTCCAGTGACATTGTTATACTTAGTGCCTATAAGTACAGTGCGGAGAAAAGGAGAGAGAAAACCCAACTAGTGGTTGAAAACGTTATTGAGGAAAGTGCCCAAACCATCATTGGTATGCATGACTGTTAGTCCATGATTTTCCTCTCAGACCACAGCAATTGTTCCGCTCTTATCGTCACAGCTAAGTGATGCCTGCGCTTCGCTGTTCTCAGAATATATTTTTCAACAATCCAGCTAGCAGTAAACAAGAAAAAAATAATGAAACATAAGGGTTTTATTAGTATTTATCATGAAACAAATAAATGATACCCGTGCTTTAATGTGAAATATATTCATAGGTATATGTTAATTATCATAAAAATGATAGATGTATTTGTTAAAATAATGTGCAAATTATGTGAGAAGTGATGATTGGATATGCTTACATGATGATTTGTAGAATTAAATAAATTGTAGATGATGTTGTATGCTTACATGGGTGATGATGTGGCATGATTGCATGTTGAGCTTTACAATTAGTGGGCTATAAATTTATAAAAAGTATAGATACCATCGATCAACATAAGGAGTGAAGACCTTTAATTATTGGATAAAATCCTTAATTTTTTTTGTAATTGTTCAGGAAAAGTATGTTTGTTTGTATTTCGTATTTTCTATTTCCGTTGTTCATAGGGAACGAAATACCTTGAAAATATGTGCTTCTGTAATATTGGATCTAGATATGTCCTCCTGTGATTTGTGTAATACAAATCGAAATATGTCCATATTCCTACTAGCTAGAGGAGGGCTAACTTAATAATCAACTCTTATAGCTAGTTAATATCAATGATGGATGAGTTGTTTTGTAGACTGCGACCTTTGAGTAATGCATCAATCATGCGGCTGATGTTATTTCTGTTTTGATTGGGAGATTACAAAAGACGATACCACTGTATAACGAAGCAATTCAAACAACTGATCTAGACCAGTCTGAATCAGTACTAACAACGTTAATTAGTTTAGACGTGCACCGAACACATTTCGTGTGTGCAATCTAAATCCGTTCACAGTATTTTTATATATTTACATGGGAAATTTGCCAAAAGGAAAAAAACACCTTATAAGTTACTTGCAATTTAACATTCTATCCCATAAAATTGTGTTTTGTTGCAAATGTCCACACAGTACTCACTTTTATTAAAAAACAACTCCGGTCCTCACGTGCTTAATTAAATTAACATGTTCTTTAATTAAACTAACAAGTGGTTTTCGAAATTTTCCCTATTTTCATCGTTGATGACCCATTATTCTCTTCCTTGGAATCAGTCAACTATTACTGGTGTGGAGATGTAAGGGGTTGTCTATGTAACATATAATTGGATATATATTCATTCCAGATCATTTTGAAGGGATCAAACTGGATTGATCAGTAAATCATCCACGTGATGTCTGTACAATTCGTCATATTTCCCAAGAAAGAGACTATTAATTATTTTTTCCAGTCTGATTGGATCTTTTCGCATACATTATCAATTTTGGCAAGCCAAAATATAACAGGAGTCCCCATCGTCTTGTCACAGTACTAGAGAAAACGCTACAGAAAATCCACAGTGGTTCACATCTTTTATGGCCTCTGCAAGCAATTGGTTGTGGCCTTTAATTAAACCCGTGGCAACAGGTAGGAACAGCAATTATGCTGGGCCTTATTTACATCTTTGGGGCTAATAATTAGCCTTCCAAAATTTTGCTATTTATAAGTATTAAACGTAGATTACTAACAAAAACCATTTCCCTAACCTCTAGGATAATTTGCGAGACGAATCTAACGAGGTATATTAATCTATGATTAACGGATGATTACTGTAGCATCACTGTAGTAAATCATGGATTAATATACCTCGTCAGATTCGTCTCGCAAATTAACCCAGGGGTTATAAAATGGATTTTGTCAGTAATCTACGTTTAATACTTTTAAATAGCAAGATTTTGGAGGGCTAATTATTAGCCTGGAGGATCCAAACAAGGCCAAGATTGGCATGTCACCTTTGCAAACAATGCATGTTAGGCCCTATTTAGATTCCCTGGCAAAATTTTCATTCTGTTACATTGAATATTTAAACACATGCATGGAGTATTAAATATAAACGAAAAAAATAACTAATTACACAGATTGCATGTAAATCGCGAGACGAATCTTTTAAGCCTAATTGCTCCATGATCTGAAAATGTGGTGCTACAGTAAACATTTGCTAATGATGAATTAATTAGGCTTAATAAATTCGTCTCGCAGTTTACAGGCGGAATCTGTAATTTGTTTTGTTATTAGTCTACGTTTAATACTTCAAGTGTGTGTCCGTATATCTGATGTGACACGCTAAAATTTTACATCTCTGAATCTAAACACAGCCTTACTCTGGCGATCTATATATAGTTGCATACATTGTAATATTATTGCTGAATTCATATTCCCATCTGAGCCAACCATGCATTGGTGTTTTGCATAATGGAGGTACCCATTGCTGCCATGACTTTTGCCCACCCAGCCAATGTTATGACTCTGGCTTCAAGGCAGCCAAAGAGTAAAAGGTCCCATATCTCCCCTGCTACCACGGCTCACCGTAATCTACAGACTCGCCTGGCTCACCACCACCATGCAACACCAGCTTCATTGCCTATGGCAATCTGCAACACAGTAGACAAAGTGATCAATAGGTTCATTGACCTGCCGGAGCAGCGACCAACGGTGGATCCGCGGCGTGTGCTCTCTGGCAACTTCGCTCCTGTTGATGAGCTGCCCCCGACAAGCTGCCATGTCATCCGCGGCTCCATCCCAAGCTGCCTCGCCGGTGGGGTCTACATCCGCAATGGTCCCAACCCACAGCACCGGCTTCCCCAGCGAACACACCACCTCTTCGATGGTGATGGCATGCTCCACTCCCTTCTCATTCCCTCGGCCTCGTCAACACTGTTGTCGGAGCCTGTGCTTTGTTCACGCTATGTGCACACGTACAAGTATCTCTTGGAGCGTGAGACCGGAGGACCGGTTTTACCAAACTTCTTCGCTGGCTTCCATGGAGTGGCCGGCTTGGCTCGTGCAGTGGTCATGATCGCAAGAGTGCTTGCTGGTCAAATTAACCTGAACAAGGGCTTCGGGCTGGCCAACACTAGCATCACTCTTTTTGCAGATTGCCTATATGCGCTATGCGAATCTGACCTTCCCTACTCCATGCACATCAACCCAGCCAACGGAGAAGTCACCACACTTGGTCGATGTGACTTTGGTGGTGATCTTTCTTTTAGGATGACAGCACACCCCAAGAAGGACCCGGTCACCATGGAGTTGTTTGCTTTTCGCTACAATGTCTTCCAACCATTCATAACATACTTCTGGTTCGATCGAGCAGGCAGCAAGGTCGCAGATGTGCCCATCTTGTCCTTGCAGAAACCATCGGTGATGCATGACTTTGCAATAACAGAGAGATATGCAATCTTTCCAGAGTCACAACTCATCGTTAATCCCATGGACATGGTCATGCGGGGGAGCTCGTTGGTAGGATTGGACCGTACCATGGTGCCACGGATTGGCGTGCTTCCAAGGTACGCCAAGGATGAGTCAGACATGAGATGGTTTGAGGTGCCTAGATTTAATATGTTGCACACGACGAATGGTTGGGAAGAGGCTGATGGAGAGGAGATTGTGCTCGTGGCACCCAATATCCTATCTATCGAACACATGCTAGGAAACATGGAGCTCATGCGAGCTCGTGTCGACATGGTACGTATCAACCTCTGCACCGGTGACGTGTCGTGCACTGCACTCTCACCGGAGAGCCTTGAGTTCGGTGTCATCCACCAAGGTTATGTTGGTCGCAAAAATCGCTATGGCTACTTTGGTGTAAGTGGTCCGTTGCCCAAGATCAAGGGGATAAGAAAGCTTGACTTTGATCTCGTCGGCTCTGGTGATTGCACGGTTGGACGTCGTGACTTTGGTCTAGGGTGCTTTGCTGGGGAACCATTTTTTGTTCCAGACAACATCGACGGGTATGGAAACGAGGATAGTGGTTATGTGGTGTGCTACACCCATGAAGAGGACACCGGAGAGAGTTGGTTTGTGGTGATGGATGCAAAGTCTCCAGAGCTAGACATTGTTGCAGAAGTGCAACTTCCTAGTCGTATCCCCTATGGCTTTCATGGTATTTTTGTCAAACAGGCCGAACTTCTCGCACAACAATAAGCATGTTTGTGAAAAACCTTACCCACTACTCTACGTATAAAGATAATACTTCATAACTTCATAAGCGAGATCTGCTACAAATGTACTTTCCAGCATTTGATTTAGAATGGTCATAAGAGAAGTATTATAGTCTGGTTGTCATTTCACATCTATCTATATATCTTTTATTATATACTAAAAGTCCATTAAACTTCCTACAAACGCTCCTAAGCCGCCACGTGTTCTCCTACAAACGCTCCTAAGACGCCAAGTGCCAGTCTAAAAATCTAACCGTTGATTTTTCTTTAAATTGGTGGGTCCAACACTTTTAACCATTAGATCAAATAAAATAAATAAAATCCTCCTCTCAACATCGGTCCCCACCACCTGTACGTTCCTCCTCTCATCTCCAGTTGGCATATTATATGGCACCTTAAATAATTCTACAGATATGTTTCGCTAAATTATATCGATGATATCCAATCTATCTATTATATAGTAAAAGTCTGTGAAAATTTTTATAAATGCTTCTAAGCTGTCACATGATGCTTATATAAATGCTCCTATAATGCCACGTGACACTCCAATAAATTAGCAAAAATCTAAGAAAAAAAACCTAGCCTTTGATTTCACTAAAATTAATAGGCCCATCACTCCAAGCCGTTGGATACTTGGATTAGATTGATTTTTCTATTTCTTACAAAGAGGCATCCCCTCTTCCCGTGCATACGCATGTACATAACTCCTCTCCATTTCTCTTTTAAGGAAGTTTTTTTTTTTTTGCTATCGGATGAAATTACATGTTCTATTTGTGTCATTATTATGACTAAAATCACAAATTAGAATTTAATACACCTCTTAACTATAATTTAGCTTGTAAAAATTATGAAAAGAAAGTGACATTATTATATTGTTTCATGCTATATAATAACTTCACTGGCATGTAACTAAAATAGTTCTACAATGTCAGAAAAATGTAGTTTACACCAGTATAATTTTACTTGTAGAAATATATTCCCTAAAGAAACATGTAGATATATATTAGGCACATTTCGACAACTTGTATGCCATATCTATCCATTATATGCTAAAAGTTAACTAAAATTCCTACAAAATACTCTCAAACCACCATGCGGGACTCCTACGAACACACCTAAGCCACCATGTGACACTACCACTGGTGGACGAATGGTCTTTCCTCCCAATTTGTAACCCCATGTTCTCCTAGTTTTGAAATAACCGGGACAAAAAGAAATCAATTTTTAGTCCTGGTTGATGTTACTAACCGAGACTAAAAATGCTAGAGCCAGAAACGGCAGTTGGCAGTTTTTTTAATTGTTTTTTTTTCATATTGATTTCACTAATCATTACATCCCCTAATAGAGAAATCCCCAAATCATCTCCAAATCACAGATCAAATTCATCATAAATTCTAAAAAAAATTACATCACAAATTTTGAAAAACCATCACAAAAAAATTAGAACGATAGTATTAAGTAAATTAAAACAATATGAATTCATCCGATTATAACTTAATAAAGATAAAAGAATACTGAACCTCGACAAAGAACTCTACTAAGGCCTGGTTTAGTTCCCAAAAAATTTTATTTTGGGGTGTCACATCGGATATATGAACACACGTTTGAAATATTAAACATTGTCTAATAACAAAACAAATTATAGATTCCGCTAGGAAACTGCGAGACAAATTTATTAATCCTAATTACCATCATTAGCAAATGTTTACTTTAGTACCATATTGTCAAATCATGGCACAATTAGGCTTAAAAGATTTGTCTCGCAATTTACACGCAAACTGTGTAATTGGTTTTTTTCCCACATTTAATCACATAACATTTAATCATCACAAATCCTCAAAAAAAGAAAATCAATTCCGAAGGCCGCCGCGTGCGATTCCCCAGCCCGGCCAGCCGGCCGCCGCCGCCGCCGACCTCGACAGGCCGCCGCTGACCCAGAGAGGCCGTGGTAGGAGGAGGAGGCGGGGAGGGGGAGGAGAGGGGAAGTGGGAGAAAGGGGAGAGGAGAAGGGGATCGGACCGAGGAGGCCGATCGAGAAGGAGAACGCCTGAGATTGAGATGGGATCGAAGAGGCTGGAGAGTGGAGATGGTTTCTAATGAGAGAGGAAGTGTAGATGGTTTTTATCGGTCTTATCGATAAGACCGAGAGAGAGGACTCGACATGCGCTCGGGAGGATTTTTGGTCCCGGTTGGTATGAAGAACCAGAACTAAGATCTAAGATAATTGGGGCCTAACTCGACCCAATAAATTCTTTGAACCGAGACTAAAAATGATCTTTAGTCCCGATTGATAACATCAACTAGGACTAAAGATCAAAAAGTTTTTAACCAGGACTAAAAATAATCTTTAGTCCCGGTTTCTATTCGAATTAGGACTATTGTGGTTTTAGGCGACCGACCAAAGATGGTTTCTCCAGTAGTGTACAATAAATCATAGAAATTCTAAAGAAATTACATAATACACCTAACCATCAATTATTTTAACTTAAACATGGTGTACCTATTATTTTCTACTGCTATCTTAACAATATAAAAATGGAAAAGACACACTTCCCACCCCTTCATACGTCATGTATGTGTTCAAGTGACATCTCCATACGTACATTATCTCTGCTTCTCTCCCTTCACATCCTCTCTTTTTTTCAATGGACAACATTACGTAAAAATACAATAATTAGAAAGATTAATGATTATAATTTTAAAAGTTGTATCTTATTTTTAGTTTGTTTCAATTGTTGTTTTATTTATAACTAATAAATAATTCAAGTTCCATGTTATCCATATTTTTATTATAAATTTAAATACATCATTTGAACATTGGCACCTATGTTTTGCATGGAAACCAAATAGGAATGAGACATTTCGAAAAGGTTGACTATATGCATTATGTTATATTAAATCAGTCTACTTGATAAAATTTGATTAAACGTCCCATATTGCACTTGTAAGTAACCATGTATCATGTCTCAAAAAATAGAAAACGATCCAACTTAACTCAATGGATTTCATTATTTTCATCAATTAGATCAATTTTTGAAAGAACCATAAGTACACATGTCATCTATTTTTAGAAAAAAAAAAACATAAGACAACACGTGTCATGTCTTACAAGTTATAAAAACAATAAAAGAAATGCTGAGAAAAAAGAAACATCTCTCATCGGTTTTCACTAAAATCCTTCCACCTCCTCCTCCATCTCACATGTAGAGAACACTGCCCTCCCATTCCTTATTTTTGTAACATGTAGAGGACAACTACAATTTTTTTATAAGCTATACATGTCTGATTTCTATCTAATTATTCTCTATTTATAATTAAACTAACAATGTAATATTTATATATGCATATATTTTGCTGTATAGAATTATAGCACTTGGGCACAGTCCACCCATGCACTTTGCACCACATCTATATACCTTAAAATTTTGACAATAAATATTATGTCATTATGAAAAATTCTACAAACATGCATAGCTAAATTAAATCAATAGTACCAGAATAAAATTTTCATATTTAATTTGCCAAAAGAAAAAGAAATAACTCAACAACATAGAGTCGCACCATGCTATGTTTTGAAACATGTATAGCTAAATTAAAGGTACACTTCGTAAAAAAAATAACTAACTGAAATATGAATTGTCTGAGCCACTGCATAAAACATCGAGTTCCTTTAATTAGAGATAATAGTCCAATTACTTAATGCTTTTTTCTGAATGTGCTCAAATAATCCAAATAAATAAAATGATCTTTTATACGTTCAGATTAATATTTCATCATTATAAGTTCTCAAACATAGTCTACGATGCATGCCCGTGCGAATGCACGGGCTACCTTCCTAGTTTTTTTAATTGATACAATGGCTCTGTTTTTTTTTACAAAGTGACTTTGATTGTTTACGCCACATACAGTACTAGAATATTTCTCTTCAATGGCCACGTGACTAGAGTAGTTTTTGCGTGTATTTCCTTGAGCTGTAAGTCTGTAGGCTGGCTTGGGTCTCATCCCTCTTTGAGGCTATGCACTTTGTTGAGTTCGTGCGGTTTTAGACACGTAGCCAGTTGTCAGGGCCAAGAAAAAGAACAAAAATGATTGATTATGCTGTAGCGCTAATCGACGCGCTGCGCGTGGAATATTAATTCAAGCGCCGCACAATGCTCCATCCTTCCGGTTTTTCCCTTTTTTACCACCTCACCTTTACTCCGCCTCCCACCTTTCCTTCACTACTAGAAAAAAGATTTTTCCGGGTGGCCCAAAACCATTTTCGTAGGCGGGGGAAAGGACCGCCGGTACCATCTCGCCTGCGAAAATAGACCATTTTCGCAATCGGGCCTGTGGCCCGCCTGTGAAATTCATCTCAGAAAAATAAAAAAAAACCACAGGGCGCCGCCACCGGCCTCACGAGCGCCGCCGGCCAAGGCTCCCCTCCGTCCGCTGCCGTCGGCGCCGTCATCATCGTCGTCGCGTCGACGAGGATAGCCGGCGGCCGGATGCGAGCCGTCGTCGTCGCCCGTCGTGGCCGGTGGAGGAGGCGGCGAGGAGGGAAGCATGTGGCGGAGGAGGCGAGCCATCATCGTCATTCGTTGTGGATGGTGGCGGAGGGGGCGAGGAGGGGAAGCGGCCGGCAGAGACGGCGAGGAGGGAAGCCAGCAGCGAAGAGGGCGAGGAGGGGAAGCGGGCGGCGCAAGCGGCGAGGAGGAAGCCGACGGCGCAGGGATCTGGAGTGCCAGCGTCGTCGCTCGTCGTGGGTGACGGCGCGTGGACATAGGAGAGGAGCGAGCAGGCGGCGCCGTGGTCGTCGTCGTCGTCGTGGCCGGCGGCGCAGATGTGGGAGAGGAGGGAGCTGTCGGCGGAGGGAAGGAGTCGCCGGCGAGGAGGGAGACGGCGGCGTCGCGGTCGTCATCGTCGTCATGGCCGGCAGCGGAGGGAGCCAGCGGCGCGCAGACGTGGGAGAGGAGGGAGCCATCGGCAGCGAGGAGGGAGCCCGCCGGCGACGAGGAGGGAGCCGGCGGCGCGCGCGCGGACGTTGGAGAGGAGGGAGCCGGCGATTTTTTCTAAGTGTGTGTGTGAGAGAGAGAGGAGGGGGAGGGAAATGAGTGGTGGAGAGGAGAGGATAAGGATGGTGGAGGAGAGGATAAGGATGACTAGATTTTTTTTTGTTGGTACTATTTTGGCAGGCGGACCACATAAGGTGCGCCTGGGAAAATAGATTTTCGCTAGCGTCCGTCTGTGAAAATAAGACCCCCACGCCGGGTAAATGCTTTTTTCTAGTAGTGCTTAATTTGTTTTTTTCGTTTTTTTACCACCCCACCTTCCATGTTCCTTTTTTCTCTTTTGCATCTTACCCATGGTTCATCAAAGGGCCCAGTAAAATATTAACCATCTAGATTTTTCCCTTTTTTTTCCTTCTCTCCAGTTTTTCTGTTTTCTCATTTTAGTAAAATATTTACTGTCTAGTTTTTCTTTCTGGGTTTTCTATTTTTCTAGTGTCTCCCCACGTTTCAAAAGTAACGAATTTACCCAGTGAAGTTTTCGTTTAACTCCCAGCCTCCCACTTCCGCTCCTTCAAAAGTAACAAATTTACTCGCATGAATACCCCCTTCAAAAGTAACAAATTTACTTTCGTGAATGCCCCCGCATCCTATAGCACTATTCCTTGATGGTCATAAAAGAATTACTACCAGCTTACAACGCTAGTAATTCTTTCACCAGTGTATGGTCTGCGAGTAAAACAATTACCACATTCCTCTCAATATAGCGCATGATCTTAGCCACTTTGTAGTAATATGTTTACTGAGACTACGTGGTCTACACGTAAAAAAATTATCACCTTCCTCTCGATATAGCCCGTGATCTCGTAGCAACCATGTAGTAATATATTTAAGAATGTGTTCAATACATAGTATAAGAGTAAAAACTGATACTAAGAGTATTTTTAATCTGTATCACAAAATGGACATACGAATCAAAAAATTACAGACTCAATCACATAGAAGTGATAAAAATTACTCACAGGTGTATCAAACTAGAAAAGAAAAAAATGATTCAGCCAAAAATCCATCGTGAAACTAGGATCCTGATGGCTTTGCTGGATCTTGCTATAAGGATGGAGAGGCTGGTCTGTGTCTTATCACACGTAGTGGAGAGGGAAACCGGGTGGCGAGCAGTAGTCGACGATGAAATCATGTAAGGGTGTAGTGGCGTGGTATAGAGATGGGCTCGACATTGCGCAGTAGCAGCCATCCATCTTCTAGCAAGCACGAAAAAAATGCAAAAGCATTCTCGTTCATGTCATAGAGACGACAAGCAAAAGAAAAATAGCAAACAACCTCTATCACTGGAGGACTCCACCCTATCCTCTGAGGCTAGCTACATGGAGCACCATGTGCAAATGTAGGACCTGTGCATCCTATCAATTCAGATAAAGTAATATTTGAGATTGCAGTAATTTGTAAAAAGAAATAGGTTCTTCATGCGTGAAGGTAAAGGATGCAAATTGGAGTGCCAATTCCTTACTTGCTTGTTCTGTCAATGTCGCCAACATGGAGCAGCCGCTAGTTGTTGCTCTTAGCCCAGGTGAACACCTCCTTGCTGGCTAAGGTGCCGCCCGACGTCTCGCAGCGAGGCCCAAAGCAGCGCCTTCGCCTCAACCGCCACCAGCCACCGCTCGCCGGCCACCGCCATCAACCACCACGGTGTCGTCGTCTTCCTGCATGGTGCGTCACCGATCAGTGGTCTGGATGGTGGATCGATTCAAATCTAAAAAAAAAGGGAAAAATGAAGTTGGAGCAAGAGTGGTTGGTTGGGTACCGGAAAAATAAAATATATACGTACCGGAATCAAGGAAAGTTGTTTTTTATTTACTCCGGTAATAGTGGGAGCAGGATGACGGGGCGTGGGGTGGGATCAGAAGTAGGGAAGTTGTTTTTATTATCGAAGTAAATCGTTTACTCTAATAATGATGGGAGCGGGATGATAGGACATGGGGTGAGGTGGGCCTGGACTAATACATGTTTGGCGCTCAGAATACTAAGGAACACATTGCGCTCCTAACAGTAGTACTATTGATTATGTACATTTTGTTTTGTTTGTTAGATGTACCAGTGACTAGTAAATTTTTTTTTGCCAACTCATGCACTCCTGCTATGTAGTACCAATAACCACAACACTGTTATATAATGAGCGACAAAAAGTTTTATATAGATGCGCATGCGAATTAGTCGATATCTTTTGGAAGTATGGATCCTCCAAATTAAATTAAACTAAAACAAGTTAGACAGCAATCTTCTGAGCAAGTTAGAAATACATATCTACTGAGCTGCTTTGTTTGCACATCCACCAATTTAGTAGCCACACAAAACCCTATGCATGCTCATCTCTCATATATTATAGTATCATTTTGCTTTTTTCCCTCGGCTACTCCTAATCAAAATCTGATGAGAAGCTTTCGGTCGTGCCCCAGGGTGGACAGAGTTGCAAACATGCAGTTCATGTTACTGTCTCAACTGATTAGGAAAAAACTCCGAAACGTTATGTGATGAATCCTATATATATATCTATATGGTTTGATCCCCACTTAGTGTAGTTAATAGCAATTCTCAGCTTTGTGGTTAAGCCACATCAGCAACAAAATGTTGGCCGTCTGATTTGATCTGAATGGCTCTGTACTCTACAAGGCTAAACTGGTTGCATATGAAAAAGCCCCAGTTCACACCCTGGCCCACCATACCATCCGACCCTTCATCTCCTTCCCAGGACGGAGCAGCCCGCCGCTCAATGCCTCTGCTTCTTCCTCCAGCGCCAGCGGCGCCTCCCCTCCCCTCCCCGGCTCCCCCGCCCTATTGTTGCTTCCTCCAGCAGCACCTCTTGCCGCCTCCCCTCCAGGATCCTCTCGGTTGCTTTACGCCGGCAGGGAGCATATCCGCCGCGCTAACGGTGTGGTTGCGCTTCCCCTGCCCCCACCACACCCCCGCGGGAAAGCCGGAAACCGATGATTCCCTTCATAACGGTCATCATGTGCTACCGACAACCCTTCCCTCCATGGCTCCATTGATTCGTCTCCTGCATCTTCTTTCACCTCCCGTATGTTCTCTCCTTCACCTGTAACCACCGGCCTCGTCCACTTTGAAGAAATTTCAAGGACATCTAGGCCTTGTTTAGTTCCCAACTTTTTCTTCAAACTTTCAACTTTTCCATCACATCAAAACTTTCTTACTCACATCAGCTTCCAACTTTTTTCTTCAAACTTCTAATTTCAGTCAAACTTTCAATTTTGGTGCGGAACTAAACACAGCCCTACTGAAGGAACTCCTTTCTTTGGCTTCAACAGGCAACAGCGCGCCAAAAACTGATCTATTCACCGGTGGCCACGTTCCCGCCCATAGGTATGCTTCCTCGTGATCTTTTCCTCATTTTCTGTTTTGACGCCTTCCAGTCGGACCAAATTGATTTTTTTTTTATCTACTGACCCTCAGAGTATCGACTAACAAAAAAAAAAGTCCCTGCTCTTCTCCAGCTTATTGAAAAAGGCATTTCTCCCGTCTATTTAGCCGGGTACTGAAATTGATTTCTTTTGTAAATTTTACTGGTACTCTTAAGATGAGAGGCATGTATAACCAATTAATCCAAGATTATGTAGACCCAATATTACACCATTGCTGCACAACCCAATTTTACACCATTACTGCACATATCATTTATTTTACTTCTTGCTTCTGGTCGCAGATCATTCCTGTCAACATAGTGCGCTCCAGCAGATTCTTACACAATAATACATCCAGATTTTTTCATGTAAACTACAATGAGCTGAAAGGTTGCTGTGTATGAATCTGATTCATCAAGATAAGGGGCCAGGTCTGTATCTCGATGACTTTGTTTAATCTTTCGTTTAGCTTATTTAATCTTTTAGCCATCTATGTTTAGTTTATTTTATCGTTTGTTTCTCCAAGGTTTATTTACCTAAACCTTTGATAGCATGCATTCCCTATTCAAATATGTGTTTCACTCTTCCTTTATCATTCCCTGTGGGCAATTTGATTGCTTCGTAATCTGTTCAGTTGAGAAGATGTTAGCTGTGCAATCCTATATTGCGATTCACTCTTTTATCATCCCTTATAGCAGTTGTATAACTTTACGTCTTTCTAATCCATGAATCTTTTATTTCTCTCACAAACAAAGAGGTATTGACACTTCAGTGTTGACGACTCATTTAGGTAAGACTTCAATCCATACAAATTCAGCTCCTCAGTTGTCCAGTAACTTTGTTCCATCCAAGTTTCCACCTGTACGAGGTACTACATTTTCATCTATGCTGCATAGGTGCCACCTGCAATAATCCCCTGTATTATTTGATTGATTAACTGTTGTAGGCATCTGTTAGCTTACTTGCCGCTCTTTCATATGTACAACTGCTTCCAAATGTGGTGTGCTGCTCCTGTCAATCTTCAATCCGCAAAAATAAGGCTGGTGTGTAATCACTTTCCCTTATATATTTATTTTGGACATGGCCAAGCCAGTAACGGGGTTTGAGGCTATCTTTTTCATACTCCGATAGTTGAAATCCCTGCCTCGACAACCATCGATTTATTTTAGAGTTTTATCGTCCAAATACATGAATCTGCAACAGCTGGACAGCAGTGCCGTTCGACCCAAAGCATTATAGAGGAAGCCGTCACAGTTAAAGCTCTACTAAAATGAATATCGAAAGAAAAAACTACAAAACTTAAAGCCAGGAGCTTAAGACTACTCTCTCTAAAGGGTTTAATGTATGTAAAAGCAAAAGAAGATATTATTCATGAGAGATCTCCAAGATTGCACAGAAAGAGCTATATTATCTTCATATTATTTTTTATATTTTACTCATTCTTTCTTTCTTTTTTATCACTTGCTGGCCTGCTAGCTGGGTTTAATCTTCCTGTGTTTTCCCCTCAACAGATAGCCAAAGGTTTGTTTGGAAGATTCAGTATTCTCCGTAAGCAGAAGTTCTCAAAGCTACCTTCTACCTAGATGGCCACTAGAAGGTTGGACTCCCTTTTTATGCTACTAGATCATACATCCTTACATTTTTTCTTTGGATTTTCATGGCACATATTTTCGCTAATGGCGAACAAGTTTATGATCCCCTATCTTTCCATCTTCCTATTTCATTTGTTTGTCACTAATGAAAATTAGGATGGTGATTTCAGAACTTTTTGAGGGATTCACCCTATTTTCCAGTTCTTTCAGCTCAATATCGTTCCTTTTGATCGTAATGATATAATGTCATCAAGTGATTTGATCAAGCAGAAAGAGTGCAACCAATAACCATTTGCATCAGTACACAGGTATATATATTTGATTTTTGGTATGTTTAGAACTGATAACCAATTTCTATGTTCTGAGAATTTTTCTTACCATCATTCAGAATCGAGTCACTGAATTTCACTTCCCTTTACTAAAATGTTAATTTGAATACAACAATTTGTTAAACCATTAAAGTTTTCCTTGCCCTAATATTACAATCGCGTGTATTTCTTTACTATTTTCAGGCCATCTTGCAATGCCATCTCCTATATAGGTCAGCTTGCGCAAATACGCTGTTGCTCCATTGATCACGTTGTTTGCTGGTTGTAGATGAAGATGCTTGATGCTTAATCAAATAATGTACGGACTGCTGCTTAAAGCAGTTAAATTAGTATGTTTAAAAAGAATGAACCTAATAATCAGTTCCATTCTTGATGAACTTGCCGTAAGTTAAAAACATATTTGGCATGCTTTTCTAATTGTTTGAGTTTATATTGTAGACAATCCCATATCAATTGACTTTACGGGCTATAAAAGAGGTGCACATGTCAATATGTAATATTGCTCTGCTCCACAAGTACATATCCTAAAATATATGTTATTTAGTTGAGAGTCCCAACTACAACTCCGAACTTTCTTCTATCCTTGAGTTTATCACTCTCTCACTATTAATTCTTAAGCTTTCTTATTGTCCATATATTTTTTTTAACAAAAATCCCCGCAGCAACACGTGGGGAATTATCTAGTGCTCTATAAAAGGTTGCTGTGGGGACTTCAGCTCCTAAAGCAAGTCAGAAGTGAAATCTCCAAGATTCAGTAAGGTTGGAGAACGACTCTATGAAGGCTTGTCGAAACAAGATTTCGGCAATACTAAAAGGGGTGGCTATCAAGTTAGAAAAGTGGATGGGTTTAGAGACAAGGAATTTTATACAGGTTCAGGCCTTCTTAATCAAGAAGTAATAACCTACTCCTGTCCGGGGATTGATTCGCCGAGTGTATTATTGATCGTATGATCTGGGAGAAAATCGTGCCCCTAGAAGCACCCAGACCTCTCCTTATATAGGGGAAGGGGTCCGTATTACAAAATACAGTCCATATCCTTAATGGAATATATAGTTACAGATAAAATACAATCGTAACCGACTAGGATCTCGGATATTTCCTTGACATACAAGTTTAAAACTTAACCCGAGTCTTCTCGAAGATATTCTATCTATGCATGGCACCCCATACCCAGTCGGACTATACATGCCGTGTAGATATGTGGTATCCATAATCTCCACAGTAGCCCCTGAGACCTTTTCAGTCGACGAAATAGCCTTCTCTTGAAACATAAAGTAATAATCCGAGTGCTTCAATTTCTTCTGTATTGATCTCCCTAGTACCAAAATCAAAGACTGTGAAGGTCTAAAAATAGAAAAAACTGGGTGCATCGACTAGATGCACCTAATTAGATGTAGCCCCCGACTGTATGATTAGTTAAAAACTAAACATATAGTCAAGATGTAAACTACATCCAACCGAGTGATCAGACAACCATATAGCAAAGCATATGCGGCGTTCAACAAAACAGCCAGCCGACTGCTTTCAGCTTTAATATACCAAAAATGAAGATATGGAAAGGCCTGAGTGAAAAACACTCTAAAGGTCCATAAATTCACACATTTGATAAGAATCCGAGTAAAAACTCTCAAAAAGATCCATCAAATGTGATATAAATGTGATAATCATAACAAGTGATAACCTTGATGCACGGGAAAAAGGGGGGCTCCCATGGTGGACTGCTAGGCGACTGGCTCCGCTCTTGCGTCGGCGGCCTCTCCGGCCACGGCGTTCTCTTCCCAACCAGCTTTAGCGATGTCGCCTTTCTCTGGAGCATCGCTGGCTAGGTCTCTAAGCCCAGACACTCACCCCCGTCACCATAGGCTTCGCCCTTCTCCAAATCCACCGCTTCTTCCCCTACCCCCAGATCCACCAGCTTCCCTAGCCTCTCCAACCCTCGAGTTCTTCCCTCCTGTTGGTCCTTCCCGTCAGCCCCCTACTCTTCCTAGCCTGGGCGTCCCTGCTTCAGATCCAGCTTTCGTCAGCAGAAGATATCGGGTTCCGGGGACGGGCTGCCCTTTCCGGTCTGCGGTATCCTCGCCAGATCTGCAGAATCCGATGCTGGATTCGAGTTCTGCTCCAAATCCTCGCCTGTCTTCTCGATGTCAAGGTTCGCCGAAAGGTGAACTGCCGGGATTCAAGCGTCTTTACTCCGATGTAGTTACTGCTCCTCCTCAACCTCCAGCTGCCAAGTCTTCAGATTTCATTGCAGTGCAGCCTCCCTCAAGATTTTCAGGGGCAGTAGCAAAGGACATAAGGATCCTGCAGAGTGGACGTCTGCTCGATTTGTCTACCCAAAATCTCTCTGCATCAGCGCAAGGTACAGGAGACATTCAAGTTGGAGAGAATCCTTGGAAAGAGGTCAAAGGAAAACGCAGGTGGAGAAACCACTCCGCATTCACTACACCAAACAACCTGGAGCAAATGCATTCAAGAAAAGCAAGATTTCTTCAACACATGGAAGGCAAGTGTTTCCGTTGTTTGAGTACAAAGCATAAGATCGTCGACTGCAGGGAGCCGTTTCGATGTTGGCGCTGCTTAAAATTTGGTCATCTGGCTTCCAGCTGTAGCAAGAAGTTTGCCTATAAGTCCACCTTGCCTCCTCTGAAGACTCACACTGAAGCTTTTCCTGCTCTTGCTCCTCTTTGTTTTCCCCCACGATCGTTTCCATCCCCTCCCAAGTCCCCGATCATGGACGACCTCACAGCTCGTCCCCTCCTCGACTCGGTGGTGATCTCGGCCACAGGGGAGATCGAGAGGAACCGGGAACGCTTCTCGGCCCATTCCTTGGTGGCATGGCAAGTGGGTGCCCAAGAAGGAAGGGTCGAGCTCAACACGTTTGCAGATGACGTCCCCTCAGCCTTCAACATCAGAAGAGCTGACATCCAATTCACCAAGTTCCACCCAGAAGACTTCTTCATCACTTGCTCCAACCAGGGTGATCGAGACGCAATACTTCGCCAGCCAAGACTTGCCACGGCTTCCGGGAGGGTGTATGTTTTTCGTCCTTGGGACGAAAGCCTGCACGGCGTCGAGGCAAGGTTCCGGTACCGAGCACGAGTATGCATTGAGGGGATCCCAATGCATGTGTGAACTGATGAAGCAGCGGCTAAGGTGATAGGCCGGAAGTGCTCCATTCACTATGTTGAAGAGTACTCTCGCCGCCGCAACTACAACCGGACCTTCGATTTGTGGATTTGGACGGATGAGCCGAGAGCTATCCCGCGTGGAGGTACCTTCGCTATTACCTCTGCTGATGAAGAAGGACTGGCCACAGACATTCCTCTGCCAGACCTTGAACCACTCCGCAACCCGCCGCCGTCTGAGCCGAAGAAAGGGTGGACATACAATGTCTTGGTTCATGTTGACACCTTGGAAGATCTCCTCTCTCGCAAAGCTCGAGCTTACAAGTGGGATTATGATGTTCAAGACGATGGCACTCTCTACAAAGAATATCCACTGCCCTGCAGGGCAGAACCTGACCCAACAAGAGGACCGGCAGATGATGATGAAGACAAGGACAGAGACAATCATTCCAGGAGTCGCCACAGGAGCCGCTCGCTGTGGGACCGGTTGAGGAGGCGATCTTCAAGCCGCAGTAGGGAGCCGGACAGAAGAGACGGCCACTGCCAAGACAATGAAAACAGGGGGCGTCCGCGCAACCGGGAACGCTCCGAGCATAGAAGCAGAAGCTGTCGTTCTCGTGATCCTAGCGAGGTGAGACCGCCTTTCTCTTCGCGCTCCATCTCTCAAGATGACTCTGTTCAGGCTACTCTTCCACTTTCCTCTACTCCGTCTGCTTCACCTTGCAAGCTACAGAATTCCCTACGTAGTCCGAGCCCTGATGGGGGCGCTGCCGCAAGCCCTTCTCTCAACTAGCACATCCCTGATCAGTCCATCCTTCAAGCTGATTCTTGCTTCTCCTCGCAGGGGAGCGAGGAGGTTCTTACCCTCCTGGAGAGCCATCTCGACCCTATGCTTCATGAGGCAACCGTACAGCACTCCATCTATTCGCCAGACACATCCTCTCCGCGTGCTGTTTCCCCTGTTTTTGTGCCTTCTTTTGCAGTACAGGGAACCTCGCAAGAGGAGTTGGCGGCAACCCAGGCAAGCCCTGTCCAGGAGTTCATTGCTGCTCTGTCAACACCAGTGCAGCCGCCTCTCCTGCCTGCTCCGGAAACACAAGCTCGCCGTCCGGGAAGAGCAAAGGTGACAATCCCGGCGCTTTCTTCAGCTCAGCGTCACAGCGAACGCCTGCTTCGCAAGCGACGAGCAGGGGCAAAGCTTGAATCTTTTGCTCAGGAAATCCTATCTAAAAATTTTGGTATAATGGACGAAAGATCTTCCTTTGATCATAACATCAAAAAGATTTATTTGCAGCGCTACAAGAAGCCTCTGTCTCCAGCGTCCCTGAAGACAATTGCAGAATTGGTGGAGAAGGGAGGCTGCAAAAGCATTCGCCTGAAGGCTTCCAAGAAGGCGACGGTGGCGCCCCTGTAAGCGGTTGACTGCCAAGCTTGAAGCGCTCAGCATTGGCCATGGAAAGGAACAACCTGAGAAGATTTAGCTCATCTCTCCTCTCTCTGTCTTTTCTTAGTCCGTGTCAAAGATGTAAGGTTCCCCTTTGCCTGTGTTTCTTCCAACTGTGTTGGTCGTGTTTCGGCAAAGGAGCAATGAACTTCTCCTCCAAGCTAGTTAGTGCCAGTTGCTGCTTGTGTTCCCATCAAAGATGTAAAGTTCCCCTTTGCCTTTGTTTCTTCCAACTGTGTTGGTCGTGTTTCGGCAAAGGAGCAATGAACTTCTCCAAGCTAGTTAGTGCCAGCTGTTTGCTTTTGTTCCCATGTCACAAGAAAATGTCTATCTGTTTAATTGGAATGTGAGAGGTTTAAATTCCAAAGCAAAGCAGGATTCTGTGAGATGTATTTTACAACAGCATGGTGCAACCATCGTATGTCTACAGGAAACTAAGTTGTCTTCTATCAGTGATCGCATTATTCTCAATACTCTGGGCCAGAGATTTCTTCGGCACTGTGTTTCTCTACCGGCCACCGGCACAAGGGGTGGCGTTCTGCTTGCTTGTGATGAGAATTACTTCTCCATTTCAGATGTACTCCTTGGCACCTACTCTGTATCTGCAGTGTTAACAATGAGGGGAGAGGGGCTTCAATGGTCTATCACGGTGGTTTATAGGCCACAGTTAGAGCCAGATAAAATCAATTTTCTTTCTGAACTTGAAGCTCTGCAGACCTCTATGAAATCTGCTTGGCTCATTATTGGAGATTTCAACCTAATATATAAAGCTTCAGACAAGAACAACGACCGACATAATAGAAGGATGATGCAACGTTTTCGTGGCCTCATTGACAAATTGCAGGTGAAAGAACTGTACCTCCCAGGGCGTAGGTTT